CCACAGCGCATTGCACTTTGAAGGTTCGAATGGCATCGAATCTTGCAGCGCTCTGTGTTAGTATATTCCGAAACGAATGTACAAACGCTAAGTCAGACCCGAGGAGGGCTATATTATCCGCATAATCTAAGTTGGTAATCTCGCTAAACTTGCAGTTCGGTTAATGCCGAGAGGAGAGAGCACTTTGTGATCATGTCGATCACAAGATTTAAGAGGAAAGGGGAAATAGGGTGATCGTGATGAACCCATTTGTATAGGTAACTTGGGGCACAGTTTCTTTCAGTTGAGATCACAACCGAGTTTAGAGCAGAAAGAGGTTTCTTTGATACACTCCCAAGACGCAGGTGTCACCACAGGCTGGTAAGATCAAGATGAAACAAAGACAGACCAAAAGTCGCCTACGAGGCAAGGTAACTGAACTCCTCACATCTGCTGCATTAATCAGAGTTAATTGGTTGAAATTATTTGACCAAAATAGTTCAACGGAAAGTATTTCCTTGGATAAAGACATCCTTTGTGGCTGCTTTGAGTTGTGGTGGCAGGTTCATCTGGAGACAGCTGTATCAATTTGGTAGGCAGGAGAACCAGTGATAACAATGAAATGTGACAAGGAATATTGACTACAGGCTATATAACTAAAAAATAAAAGCTGAGTAATCTGGCCCTAATCTAGAAGGAAGATAGCAGCCATTAGTCGTGGAAATCCAGCGGCATTTTAAAAACGAAACCAACTGGTTTGAGGAGCTGGCAAGTGAAATAGCTTATTCAACAGGTAAAGAGCAACTCGACAAATGTAATGGACCATAATATAGTCACAGCGTCGTTCGTTTATTGGTCACAAGCTGAATGCGACAGCAGGAACAATACTGATTGAAACTGGAATGTGCGAACCGCAACAAGTGTGATGAACTCATCCGACGGCGTGCAACCCAAACAAGCGGATGACAGGTTTTACGCCGCTCGCAATATGAAGCTGTGTGCTTATATCCTGGAAAACCAGGATGTTAGAGCGAGAAAGCAAATGTTGATCGGAAGTAGGAGTGAATGAAGAGCCAGCACAGTGGAGGATGTTAGGGATTTGGCGGCAACGCACAACTTCGGGTAGCGACAGAACAACAAACCTGGAATGTGGGATCGGAGGTGTGTTCCGTTCGGACGACTTCGACTAAACGAAGAACCGGAACGGGTTGGAAGAAATGCAATCCGGCAAATCTTTCTTTGTTGTTCAGCACACTGCCGATTGATTTGAGGGAAAGCGAAGATGTGTTGGATACGAGCACGCAACCGGATGGAACGCATTCTTCCAGCAATCTATCGGTGGAGTAATGACACAGGAGAGTAGAACAAGTGTAGATTGATCAAAATAGATAGCTAGAATAGGTCAAGATACACAGCCAACAGACCATGAAAAAATGGCGAGTGGCGGTTAACTACAAGTTTGGGCAACCGGATAGTATTACGCTCTTCGAAAAAGTTATGAGCTCTTGGAGAGTTACACTGCGCTCATCTGTCTTCGCCAGCGCTGCTATTGTGCCGCAATTCATAAAGATAAAACATACGGAAAAGAAGCAAAACATTAAACAATATGGAAAGCAAAATAAAGAAGCGACACACTACTTAGTAACATATTATGCGTCAAGAGAGAGATAGCGCTTGGAGAGAAGATAAGCTGAATGGGGAGAAAAAACGCAACACAAACGCCACTGAGATCGACTCTTTATCATGTCAACTAGATGTGTCCATCGTCCCTCAGACTACATCCCGGCAGTCGGGACACCGCAACCCACGCCAAATTGGTAGTGAGGGACTTCATTTCTCTTGATCAAATCATCACTTGGTCATCCATAAGGTTCTTCCATCCACAGCCCCAGTGCGCAAACGACGCACTTCGCGGAAGTCAGTGGACTGGCATGCGGAACACGTGGCCCAGTCATCGGGTCCAGGTGCGTGAAATAACGGCGTTGAGCGGTTTACTCGCTAATTCTGCACCAAACGCACGACGCCGCACACGCCCATTGCTCACATGGTGTTCCCACCAGATATGAGCTGAGCTTCGAAGACATCGATGATCGAATGTAGCTAGCCACTTTAGATCTGTCGACGTGAGCATAAGTTAATGATCCATTTGGATTCCTGGTCCCATGAATCTACCTTTGCCCCTCATTCCGCGTACGCCAGTACAGCTCAGCGTGTGCTGTCCTGCGATCTCGGTCCTTGTCTCGTTTAGCAAGCTTCAGTGTGTGCACAATAGTGCAGGACGGGCAATAGACTGATCTAGCGGACACGTTAGACTTCTGGCTACCGCTGGTTGCTGCTTTCAGAAACCCGATTGTAGGATCCCACTGACCAAGGAACAAGATTTCACAAATGTCTCTCCGGTAACGCCGAAGTAGCCACAGCAGGTGTGGCTAGGGTTGATGTAACGCTAAGTAGCAAAGCCTAAGCAACACAGTTGGGATGATTCGCGATTAACATTCAACTTTGTGCAATTTGGTTTCGGCATTAACGCAAAATCAAAAAGCATCGCGAACTGGTTGTAGTCTCTGCGTACGCAGTTGTGACTCGGTTAAAAACGACTTTTGTCGTAAACCTCATTATTAATATATCTTTGCTGGGGAGTACAACGCATAGGTCGGTCGCTTATTACCAAGTAAACGTCATCTTGTTGATCGTCATGCATTCAAATAACGGAGACAAAATTCTCACAGTATGCAAAAACAATCGTCTGTTTCTACAGCACTAACTTTAGGCAGCTTTGGGTCTAAGTAAGCAAATTCAAGCAGTCTCAAATTGACCGCATCACAATCACAGTTTCAAATGGCGGGGCAGTATAGGGATTGCAAACGCATGTGCTTAGTTTATGTTAGCTCAGACCACGCGCTGATCTGTGCGAACATGTGTGTGTGTGTGTTTCGAAGTGTTCCTGTAAACCAAGCACCGTGAAGTTCATACAAACAGTGATTCACCGTAACAAACTGAGCCACGTTGCTTTTATACGCAGGGTAATAATTTATGCAGTCACTCCGTGGTCTTACCCGAACTGGATCTCCGCTCGCTCCTTGGATCCGTCTAACCGCCGCAGAAATATCACAGCAGAGCCAGAGCCCAAAGAAGTGCACCGCTATGTCAGTAAAGCGTGTGCAGTGATCGCGTAGCCTGGTAGTCCCAAAGGGCTTGGGAAGTGAAGACAGCAGCCTTGTTTCGTGACTTATAAGCTCCTACAATTCACTGGCCACAACAAGCCCGGTGTCAGTGAGACTATTTGTGAAGCACATAGGCTACCGATCATTAACCTACGGACGCGCTTGGATCGACGATGGGCCAATCGCTTTCAGTACTATCCGGATTGGCCCTCCCCTTCCACCTGTGTGTACTGTGTACCCAGTTGCATGCTCTGAACTCTTACTAAAAGTTGGCCCTGAGAGCTGACACTCGGGAACAATTTCAGGTTGTCGGCTCAGACTTATTTCATCCAAATGCAGTGGCTCAGTAACCACCGACCAGCTAACCTCCTTACTGTCAAAAAGTTTGTACAAAAAGATGCCTTCTTTTTGTGGGAAGTCAGTTATTGTTCAGATTTCCAAGAAATGTGGCCGCACTTCATCTGTGAAGCATCGAGGGACTAGTCTCAGTTTGGTTGTCCCCAAACCACTGGTATTCACTGTGTTAATCAGGCTATGACCGATTTGAGAATTACAGCATCGTGGAAAACAGGCCGGATTCCGTCCCGGTAGTTGGTGCGTGACTCAAATAATCATGCTCCACCGGCTCCTTGGACACCGTCACCTCTAAAAGTGTGGCATACCAGTCACCTTCCTAGAGATCCCTGCTGCATTCCAGGCGGTTACTCGACCTGCTCTATGGTGCTGCCTGCCAAGGAATGGGATCCCAAAAATGTATACTGCTATCCTACATACATTGCAGCTCCATGTCTCTGGCAGTTTATAGTACGCTTTCTGCGTCCCTTGTTGAAGACATCCTGTCGAAAGCTCAAATGGTTAGGAAAAAGTAAGCTTACAGCTTCTACTGGGTAAGCGTATGACCGAACAACGAATGTTCTAGAGTATTTTTGAGGACATCCTCAATGGCTGAACACTAGCTGATTAAGGCACGGGGCAGTTAAATGCGCAATGAAGCTGTTTGGCCGATGCCATCTTACATGATAACCAGTTATTAGAGAGGAGTGGTTCATCGTAGCCAGGTTCAGTCAAACATCCATCAGATATCGTTTTCTGAATATGTGAAAAGGTTGTCTGGTTGCGACGAACCTTCCGGAAAACGATGGCCAGTTGTTGACAAGCTGTGGGCGTCTTGACTCCAAATGTTTGTACATGGTATTCAGGTTGTACAATACGTCCATCACTTCTTCCTCCTATTATTCTTCATTCTCCAGGTGTTTATGCTTGTACAGCCTCAAACCATCAATACACGTTATCGATGACATATTACCCATATCACCAAACCTATTTCGAATGGACTCGATCCCAGTACTCTCACTCATATCTGCTGCGTCCGTAGCACCTGATTACAATAACGTGTATGACAGCGGACTGCAACACGATGACTCCACACCCAATAGTCCGTCTTCTATACTTCTACTTAATGTCAGATCTATTAACAACAAATTGTACTTCCTGGGCATGCTTGCGCATATCATCATCCCACAAGTAATCCTTGTTACGGAAACGTGGTTCGCCACCGATACATTAGACTCCACCTTAATGCTTCATAATTACCAGCTTTTCCGAAAAGATCGCGTCACAGGCAAAAGAGGTGGATGCATGTTATACCTACATAGCACATTTGCAGCAGAATTTTTTGATCATCCACAGTTAACAAATATTCCCGAATCTCTTTGATTGTTCGTCTCAGGAATCAATTCTCGGATGCGTTTACAACTCGATAACTGCGTCAAGCGCGAGTGCTACCATCATCACTTCAGCTTTTGAAGGAGATGACACACAGACAGAAGATAATTGTTGATGGTTTTAACCTACCAAAGATTAACTGCTCCGCCCAATTATTTTCGTCTACACATACCGCTTTCCTTTCCTCTCTCAGAATTGGTGAGTGGATACGATGAGTTACTGAGCCAACAAGAGCGACCAGTATACTCAACAGCATATGCACTTTGGGGGTCACAAGCGCAAAAACAGAGGTATTAAACTCTCTGGTAGTGACCACAATAGAGTACGATTTACTTTCTGCGTTAAATTGGCAATCAAACAGGCTTTTATTCCGCAATATGTATCCCATAGGATAAACTGGGAGCAATTCCAACAGTTAATCCAAGCATTCGATTGGGACGCACTCTTTCTCTCTAACAATGTGTGTAATGTCGTGGACTATTACTACTATCAGGTCATTCAAGCCATTGCTGTCCTTACTTCCCAAGACAAGGGGTCACAGGTGTCCAAAAAGACGCAATTGTGTGTTCAGTCAGCCGGAAACACAGAAGACTAATTGCTGGATACAGAAAGACAGGAAATTTCATCTTGCTTTTACGGTTGCACAACATCATTGACAGAGTCAAGAGCATACAGTTGACGAAGAGGAAACACGAAGAATAAAATATGTAAAAAGGAACTTGTTAAAATTTTGCGTCGCAGTACCAATTACCACTCCCCCTTGATCGATGGACTGGTTAATGCAGACGGACATTCCCTTTATGATCCAGTCGACATCTGCAAAGCGTTTAGCTCATCTCCATGAGCCTAGAGACGACCTCGTTAAACGCCTGCATTGGGTGTGTAACATTGAATCTGCTATCATTGATATACAACATTCAATACATTGCACCAAACAGTTTTCCCATCTGGATTCCGACGGTATCCCACCTGCCTCCATTAAACTGGGAGGGCCTGACATGCCGTTACTGCTGCTGAACATGTTTACCCTTACGTTGGAATCAAGGTACTTTCCAGAGCAGTGGAAAATATAGCTCATCAGCCCCAGTCACAAGGGTAGCTCCAAAGAAGAAATTAATAATTACCGGCCAATCCATCACACCCCTGTAGTAGACAGAATAATAGAGAAACTGGTTAAGAATGATCTGATGAAAGTCATCAATTCGCTGGAGCTAATCCACAGGTCCCAGCATGGTTTCTTGGACAAAAGTTCGTGCATAACCTGCCAATTGCATTATCTAAACCATGTTTCGGATTCTACTGGCTCAGGATACGCAGTTATACTTCTCTTCCTGGACATGAAAAAGGCATTCGATCGAGTGCCCCACAAACTGCTGCTGGAAAAGATTGCTTCCTTTAGAATTTAGGACCCACTCCTAGACTGGCTATTGTCATACCTGAGCGGCCATTCTCAGGTAGTTAGCATAGCCGACCACAACTGTTTACCACGTCCAATCACTAGTGGTGTTATTCAAGGGAATGTACTTGGTCCGTTACTGTTCTTTACCTACGTCAATGACATCAGTGCGGTTATCAGACATTGCATGCCTTTCCAATTTGCAGATGACATAAAGATAGTCTACAAATTCCGATGAGCTGAACTGCAAGATAAACTACTGCTCATACAGGAAGACCTCCATGACCTTGAGAAATGGTGACATCTGGATGATGAAGTTCTCGGTGAAAAAATCTGGCATCATGTATCGAGGCCGTTCGATACCCAAAGGATCAATTACACGCAACGACGAACAGCTTTGTGTACAACAGTCTACCCGAGATCTCGGAATCAGGTATTCTTGCACCTTCAACTTTTCTGAACAAGTGGAGTACCAGCTGGCTAGGGCCAGAAAATCAATGGGTAATATACTACATAAGATCCACATAACCGCAGCCAGAATAGAACTGCAAAATCCTCACCCGTCCCATTTTGGAATACTGCAGTATCATTAGTGGCAGTATGAGGAAATCTGACACAGTATCTCTGGAAAGTATACGAAGGTCATTTACCCAACTTCTGCTAGGCAAAACATTCACTAAGAACTATCGGGAGCGCTGCCAATAATTCCAGCTCAATCCGCTTTGGCTACGAAGATTGAGACATAACCTGATGCTTCTGTACAACATGATACACTAAAACGCTCACTGCTATTTGCCTTCCCTAGAACAACAACATAGTTCGACAAGGGTGCTACGCAATAAGGAGTTTACCCTGAGTGTACCCAGGTGCAGTGTAAATCTGCAGTCTAACTTCTTCCTTATCAGATATGCTGTCCTGTGGAATAAGCTCCCAGTCACAATCAGATCGTGTGGGGGCGCGACGGCCTTTCACGTTAAGCTCACCAATTATCCAGATTTGAACACGATTATGACCCTGTTCTCTTGGGAGATATCACTTGATGGTGTGTGACAAGAAGGGCCAGGCAACGTCTGATAAGTGAAACAAAAGTAATTTCATTCGGTGTGACACAAGCCTATTGCGGTTACTATCCACTATTCCAACTAGTGTACATTGCCTCGAAATACACCTGTGAGTTAATACAAACCCTTGAAACAGCAAAAGTAATGAAAATCACATAACTGTTAATCATCTATGCATGAGCATGACGTATTCTGTAAAATTTGCTGTGCCAAATATGGCCACAGTTTCCCAATCGATGAGAAATATACCTATATATGGTATTATATGTGCTGCTGTTGATGATTTATTGGTTGAATACTGCTTAAATTAAAGACGAAAATGAAACCACGACCCATGTTTCGTAACCAAAAGCTCAAGTATCTGAACTGCGGTCAAATGTCGATATCCCACGAGACATTGGGTAAACCGTCCTCTATTGATATGGCTGTCATTATTGTGCAGAGAGCAGAGAACAGTAGCCTCCCTCGCACTCAGCGGGACAAACGTACAAATATTTTTATTCGGAAGGTGGAAAAGATAATTTAAACAGATTTAAACAAGTTTCATACAATAAGCAAGTTACCGAATAAAGATCAGGAAAAATAACCCCACTTTACAGAAGCTACATGGCGGCCAGTCAACGAAATGGTAGAAAAGATATGGAGACACTGGTAGGAGTAACGAGTCTGCTTGATTTGTGTAGTGTTCCTAGATGAGGGTCATGGGACCTACCACAATGAAAGCTAGAAGCCCTGTCCGAAATTGCGCGACCGACGACGCAATTGTAGTCTTACATTCAACCCTTTACTTCCAACTACCGGCTTTGTAACTCGGCGTTCTTAATTATCATGTAACAGTCGAATCTCAACAGGTCTTGGCAATCTTGGTTTAGTTTTCCATCATCTGTTAGCAGCAACAAACGAGTGTTGTCATTGTGACACAAGATAGAGTAGCTGTGTTCACCATGCGTCAATCGCAAATAAGCAATTAAAACTGAAGAAATACGGTAGTACAATAAGCTCACAGCGTTCAGCTGGCTCGCTACTGACAGTGACAGTTCCAGATAGTTATTCAAGGTATACAGAAAGGACAAAAATGACATCAAAAGTGCGCCGTTCCGACGCTTCACCGCCATTAAACCACCACTAGTCGCACATGGGCCAAGGATACTACGAGGGTCGCCCAGTCCTCCCATACGCAGGTTCGAACCGATGTTTAGTTCAGTTCAGTTGATCAACTATGATCCGAGCACCGAAGTGCGGTGGATCCAGTTGCCACGGCTCACACCGTAAGAACAACAATAAATAACACCGGTAGGATAGTGGGGTTGGGTGCAAATAGAATGTAGAGAAAATGAAGCAAGAAGGAAATGCGTTAGACTAATCATAATGGAACGAAAATTAACAACCAGATGAAAGAAACCGAATGCAGGAACACCACTGACTTCGTGACTGTGCCATGTCTGACACGGTCTCCAATCATTGGTGTGGACCGTTCCGAGGCTCCCATGCAGGAAGATGGCACGCCCCAGCCTGACCAAGTCTCTCAGACAATTTCTTCAAGCTTCTATGCCATGTCATGGACTGGCCACCTTGAGATTTCACCGAACTTGGTGCAGCCACGACGTATAATGCACACCGAGGAAGCCGGTCAACGGGCATACGAGGGACATGGCCTAGCCAACATCCGAATTGCAAGGCAGGCATCTTGTCTTTTCGGCCAGTGGCTGACGTATGAACCATTTATTGACAGAAATGTAGAGTGGTGCTTCCGGTGTTTTGGTAGACTGAATTGTTGGACTGTGTACACCAGTAGTTTTTACTGGTGTTTTGCCGCCGTGTAGCCACGAGCTGTTTTACGCAGACTGAGGTACTGCTAGGGTGTCCAAGCGTAGCGGTGACTTGAACCTGCGAAGAGGACTGCAAGTCACGAAACTTGAAGCATCAAACCAGGGGAAAATTAATGGGGGAGGAGAGAATCAAACCACTTACGAGTTCGTATGGAGAGGGTAAGTATGCGGCTGCACACAGGACATGTCATACTAATCGGTCGACCGCAAGAGCTGCTAAAAGTTGCAGAGTACCGTGCATATAAGGATTGAGAGTGGTGACAAATTTAGAAGCAACCAACCAGAAATTAGACGTTGAATGCGTACCCGGCAACAGCTGCTCATTGGAAGCAAAGAAACAATAAAGTTAAACAATTTCCAAATATACTTGTAGAGCAAGTCTAAAAATGAAGAATACACTACTTGAATATAGTGAGAATGCTCTGGTAACTTACTGGAAAAGATCGCGTTTAGCATCCAATCTTTCCACGATGGCCTCGATAACCAGATCAGAATTAGAAGCGGATTCTTTCAACGCAGTCGAAGTTGCAAGACTTTCCATACAGCGATTTACATAACCGACAAACTCTGCTTCGTCAGAGTACTTTTTCTTTCCGAAGGAGGAGATATGTTGGCGCATAACAGTGACCGCCTTTGAGAGAGCGTCTGCATTCGTGTCGACTAACTTGACACAGTAGCCACTCTGGACACAAACCTGTGCGATACCTGAACCCATTAGACCCGCTCCAATCACGGAAATGGACTTGAACCCTCGAGTAGATTGAACGAGAGGCATTCGAAGAAGGGACCGACTATTCATCGATTTGATAGAAAGTCTGTATCAAAACGGTTCAAATAGATACTGACTGAAATGGTGAAAAAACGAAAGCCAGTTACTGGTAGACAGGACACAATGATCACTAGTGTCAACAGCACTGAGGCAGTAGTGCTGCCATAAGGTATTATTATTTATTCATAAGTCTGTAAACAGAGAAATGTGCCATCAGAAGCATGGTGTAAGGGAAAGGAGAAGATAATGTTCAACGAGAGAGAGAAATACGTTAGAATTTTTTTCCAGATTCACACACGTCGTTTTGAGTCCTTTTTTGTCTTCATGTTTTGTTCAACATTAAAAATTACTTGATGAAGAGATGGTGGAACAGCATTGACGTCATTGACTCCTGTTGCGGGCCATATCCTGCAAAAATCCCAACCATTGGGAATCTGTTTCATGTGGTCCCCAGCCTGGGAGAGGCACGGATCCAACTGACGCTAGACACGGTTAGAATCTTCATGCTCCTTTTCCAGGTGATCGGTTGTCCGCCGCGGCACTTTTTCCATTTGCGTCCAGGGAGTGCAAATACTGCACGACGTGAAAGGCGGTGGACCGGCATGCGCAGTACATGACCGGGCCAACACAAGCGGTGCTGGATGATTATGCTTTGGAGACAAGGACTGTTCGCTGCCATGACTCTGCTTCTAACTTCCGCGTTGCGCACATGGTTCTGCCACCATACGCGAGCAGCGGTTGTCGAAAGTAGACAGTCGTCTCAACTCTTCCGATTGAACATGCCAGGTGTCGCAGCCGTACAGTAGGACAGCACGAACTGCGGCATTGTACACTCGGTCTTTGAGGTTGAGAATGACATCGCGACGACGCCACAAGTGTCTCAGGTTAGTAAACGCAAGGCGAGCTTTGGCAATTCGTTGTGAAATTTCATCGCCAATACCGCCACCAGCCGTAATGCAACTCCCGAGGTAAGTAAAGTTGTTAACGAGCTCCAGGTTGACACCCGAAATGATGAGCGTAGGTACAGGCTCCCGCCAATATTGGAGTAAAATATAGACCATACTTAGATACCTCTATCGTTAAGCGGTTCAGAATGTTTTGAACAATCTGCGAGTCGTCCCCCAGCAAAGGGATGTCATCAGCATAGTCCAGGTCCACGACCCTGCTCCCGGGTAGAAGCTCAACGCCGCAACTCTGGGCTCCTTGCAGTGCGTGATGTAGGACATCTTCGATGGCAAAGTTGAACAGGAACGGCGAGATAGGACAATCTTGGCGCATTCCACTGGTGAGAGGAAACGAAGATAGCCTACCATATGTTCTAACTTTGCCAGAGGTGTGACTATACAGCTCTTCGATGAGTAAAAAAGGTTGACAAGCACGCCATTCCGTAGTAGACAGTTCCACAGTAATGACCTGTCTACTGAGTCAAAAGCGGCTCGGATTTTCAAAAACACCACAATTGTTGGTCTTCGGTGGACATGAGGATGTTCGAGAAGTTGACGCAACATGAAAATTTGGTCAATGCAACCACGGCCAGGACAAAAGCCATCCTTTTTCCCACGACACAAACTCTCGCAGGTAACAGAGCCTACGCAGCAAAACGGACACAAGCTTGGACGCGACAGACATAAGTGAGATTCCTCGGTAATTGGTGCGTTGCTACGAGAGCCCTTCTTGTGGACCGGAACCGTAACAGATACTCGCCATGAGTTAGGAACCTTCTCATCGCTCCACACTTTTGTGAACAGTGACAGAACTTCGTTAACTAAGTCCCCCCCATCTTTGAATAAGGCCGGAGGAAGATTGTCAAGAACAGGAGCTATTTAGCGTTTCAGTCAGAATTTCTCTCCGTATTTCTGCTTCAATGAAAGAATCTATGCAGACTGACTAAGGAGGTGTAACCGGAGGTTGTGTTGGGTAATTAAACTGGAGAGCAGAATGCTCTGCCTAGCGATCCAGACATTTGCGTAGGTTGGTGACCTTTGTACCGTCTGACTCACACATGGTCTGACTGATGGCCTGAAGTTTGCGTCCGGTGGATCTGATGGGATAAAACAACATGCGGCTATTACCAGCAGAGGGAGCAACTTCCATTTCCTTGGCCTGTTTAGACCACCAGGATTCATGGTCCGGACGAAGACTCGCTTTCAGTTATCTGGAAATAGAAGGGCAGAGCTCAGCGTGCTCCACACTGACGGGTATAGCTCACCGATAGTCGAGAAGTACCGCGGCGGTGGCCGAGATCCAACTTCTAGTTGCGTAACGAACAAGATCACAACTGGATACACCCGATGAAAACTTAATCTGTTGCAATCGCGACCAATGCTGATCAACATCCCGAGGGGGCGGAGAACTGAGGTTTTCACGAAGCTGCTTTTGATGTTCCAAGTACACGGCGGAGTCTTCCAGTTTACCAGTTAAGTCGAGTTTGTCTAGTCATAAGAGAGCCACCGAAACGCATGCGAAAAGACACACGCACTAGCGCATGATCAGTTTCCACGCATATTGACCAATAGAATCCGCAGTCCCGAATACTGCCACGCCAGCGATGACTTATGGCGACGTGATCAATGTGTGACTAACGTGGAGGGGATGATGGAGCATGTCAAGTAGCGTAGTGACGTCTGGGGTGGCGAAAGTTCGTGCTGAAGGGGTAATGTTGCTGGACGTCACACAAACTGAGTAGTGTTTCTCCATTGTCTGAGCGAAAGTTGTCGTTTCCATGTGAGCCTCCAAGATGGCGTTCGCATGGTAACAAACGACCAGCACGAGAGTTGAAATCCCCCGCCATAATAACAATGTCCGTTTTGGGGGCCCTTAAGAGCAAATCATGAAGGTTCTGATAGAATTCGTCCTTGACTGTATCTGGGCTACAGTCAGTGGGAGCATAGACGGAAATTAAAAAACAGCACGTTTGTCTTCTCGACGCTTGTTAACCTTGCACAAGCCATGGAGCCTGATATCACAAAGGCGACTGTTGATCGGAATCCATTCGAGAAGGGCGGCTTCGGCTCTGGCACTAAGGGCGACCCCAACACCAGTTCGCCCAGAAGCGGTAGCATCGGCTTCTCCAGAAAGTCTATGGCAGAAACGGGTATAAGGGTGAATTGGTGACGATGATACGTAGACTATGCTGGAATCCTGAAGTCGCGTTTCGGACAAACAACAGAAATCAATTGCAAGAGTTTCTAGAGTGCGCACGAGACAGGCTTGTTGTCCAATCTGGTTTAAGGTCCGCACATGGAGCCCTGCCAAGTCGAACTGTGTCTTCGGTTACAGAAGCAGAGAGATGAGAATCCGGGACTGTTCAATTCCGGTTTGGCGCTGTGCGATTATGTCAGAGGATGGATTGGTAACAGTGCTATCGGAGGAAGCAATACTGCTCATCATTGATTGATCAGACAAAATGGGGGAAAATGATACAGGGGAATAGTAGATAAGCGGGTAGCGTGTGATGGAAGAGTGTTTGCAGTAGTAGCATGAGAGAAAAGCATCAGTAGAGCGAAGAGTGCAGTTCAGTCCCATGGTTGCTCAGTAGGCGAGATACCTCCCGGTTGTCTAGGCTGAAGTAGGGATTGTCTTAGGGGGCGGCCACCCCGAACCTTCGGATCAATAGCCTACCCGCAAGGCAGTGGAACGAATTCAGGAAATCGCGCCCATTGTGAGCCGGTGACCGATTACTCCGTTCATACGCCTTTCGTTTGGTTAAGTACCAAACAGGGGCCCAATCCTCCCCACGAAAACAGCATCTGGCAGCTGGAATACAATGCTCCACTGGAGTGAAGCACTGGGCAGTGACTTTATTTAGTGACGAGTCACATCAGCCATGTCACGACGGATATGTGGCATTTTATAGGGCGAACGCTTGTCAGGTGAAAACCCTCCGCGTTCTGCAACATTGGCATAAGGTACTCAAAAAATGAGTAAAAAATCCGTAGATGCTGCAAGCGTATAAAACACAAGTGTTAAAATGAGCTGCGACAAGCGTCGGAAAATATCTGTCACTAAGTTTATATCAAAATATACCAAAAAGCTTAAAATAAACGACGGTGGCTACTGCTACTACGCAAGGTGAAATCTGCCGAAGCAAAAGTTGTGCCTACAAAATACGTGAAGTGCGAACATCCATACATTTCCATTATCAAACCGCATATCACGCAAAATCTCAGCTTGTTCTCATCATGGAAAAGTAGCTTAACGACCAGACGCATGAGTCCTATTAACAGATTTCAAGCTGCAACAGCTACATGAATTCTAGTTGTAAGTACAGGACAGAGGTGCATCATATACGTCACCACTAACTGAACAAAAAACCTGGTATGTTCGCTGACGCGAGCTGGATAGCAGCAATTGCAAAATAACTGCAACTTCCTCATCGGGTGTCTACAATATACCACCCTGCGGCCCCATCGGTGCTAACCGACTTTTTAGCATAAACATCTCGGAGCACACAGCAAACCATAAGTTGCTTGAAGGAAAATGCAACACGCAAGTAATAGGCTAACAGTCATGCATCTCCTCACATAGATTACTGGAATTCGTCCAATGCATCTGCTCAAGAAGCAGATTTTGACAAGTCCTGTTCATGATAAGGAATTGTATTATCTACAGTCTTATCAGTACTCTGGGTTTTTCTAATGGAAAGGTCACTATTTTAGCTTACCGGGTAGTGATCAAAACCTTGTGGCTATCAGAATCACATTGCCTGCAACAAGAGTGGTCAATATAGAATTTACAATACAGGCATACAACCAGCACACAACCAGGAAAGCGCTAGATGGCCGTTTCGTCCTACTGGGACTCGTTAGTAGCGCGCACCCGCCGAATCCTGCCGGATTCGAACCCACGACCTTACTCTTGCGAGTCAGCGAGTTATGTCACTGAGTCATGGGCGACGGCAGCGGACCGCCTTGACTGCTATCTAACTGCGATATAGCGTGACTCATCCTCCACTGTCTTACATGTTAGGAGTGTGCATAGGACAGGGCTGGCCCCCAGAGCAACGATTTCCTTTGCAAGCCGCCACCAATCGAGGTGGCGTGTAAGCTGCTAAGGCGACTACTGATTATTTGTAAGT